CGCCGACTGCTTCAGTGACTCCATCCAGCCCCCTCATTCTCTGTCGTCCCATTCTTCTTTTGCCCTCCATCGTTCCCAACATTAGGCTCTTCTCCAGGGAGTCTTTCCTTCTCTTGAGGTGGCCAAAGTCTTTGGAGTTTCCTCTTCAGGATCTGGCCTCTTCTTAAAAGCCTCCAGTGATGCCACGATTTCTGGTGGCAAGCAGTTCCACTGGTTAATTGTCCTCACCGTGAGGAACTTTCTCCTTAATTCCAGGTTGCTTATTTCCTCCGCTCTCCCCTCCATCCCATCCCTTCTAATTCTATTTCTACTCCATTCTTATTCTACTCTGTACCATTCCATTCCTCTATTCGTGTGCGAGAAGTGACAGGCGGAGCCACCTCTGCCGTCACACGAGCCGTCGCCCCGGAGCAGGTCCATTGCACAGGCACGTGCAACACCCGCCTGACAATCGTCAGATAGCTGCTGCGCATATGCGGGAGGTGGGGGGGTGGGACGAGCTCAGGAGACGCTCATGCCTGCGCAGAAACGGGGTCGCGTGCACATGCGCAGACATGCAGTGTGCACGCAGGGGGTTGTGCGTGCATTGCATGAAGGATGATGGCACACATGCGCACACGCTTTTGGCACCCAAGGACGAAAAGGTTCGCCATCACTGCTCTATTCTATTTCTATTCTTTATTCTCTTCTATTTCTATTCTATTCTATTTCATTCTATTCTTTATTCTATTCTATTCCTATTCTATTCAATTCAATTCTATTTCTATTCCATTCCATTTTTCTATTCTATTTTATTCTTTATTCTATTCTATTCCATTCTTTATTCTATTCTATTCTATTTCTATTCTATTCCATTCCATTCTTTATTCTATTCTATTTCTATTCTATTCCATTCCATTCTTTATTCTATTCTATTTCTACTCTATTCCATTCTTTATTCTATTCTATTCTATTCTATTCTATTCTATTCTATTCTATTCTATTCTATTCTATTCCATTCCATTCCATTCTTTATTCTATTCTATTCTTTATTTTATTCCATTCTATTCTTTATTCCTTTCTATTCTCTCCTCTATATTCTAGTCTGTTCCATTCCATTCCGGTCTATTCTCCTCTATTCAGATAACAGATAGCAGCTAATCAGAATTGGAAGAGACCTTGTAGGTCATCTAGTCCAACCCCCTGCCCAAGCAGGAGACCATACACCATTTCTGACAGATGGGAGTCCAATCTCTTCTTGAAAGTCTCAAGTGATGGCGCTCCCACAACTTCTGAGGGCAACTTCTGTTCCATTGGTTAATTGTTCTCCCTGTCAGAAAGTTTCTCCTTATTTCCAGGTTAAATCTCTCCTTGCTCAGTTTCCATCCATTATTCCTTGTCTGGCCTTCAGGTGCCCTGGAAAATAGCTTGGCCCCTTCCTCCTCTCTGTGGCAGCCCCTCAAATATTGGAAAATGCTATCCTGTCTCCCCTGGTCCTTCTCTTCCCTAGACTAGCCAGGCCCAGTTCCTGCAATCGGTCTTCATGTTTTAGCCTCCAGTCCCCTCATCATCCTGGTTGCTCTTCTCTGCACTTTTTCTAGAGTCTCAACATCTTTTTTATAATGTGGTGAACAAAACTGGATGCAGTAGTCTAGGTGTGGTCATTCATTCCATTCCATTCTATTCCAATTGTTTTCTGTTCTCTCTTCTCTTTTCTATTCTATTCTGTTCTCTATTCCAGTGGTCGCCAACCAGTGGGCCGGGGACCATGAGAAAATGTTGGTGGTCCGCAGAGAAATGTCCCCCCCTACTTTGCCACCCAACATCAGCAAGCCACCATCAGTCAAAATTCGTATTAGTGGTCCACGGGATTTAAAAGTATGAGTTTGGTGGTCCCTGAGGTCCAAAAGGTTGGCGACCCCTGTTCTATTCGATTTTCTGTTCTATTTTCTTTTCTATTCTACTCTACTCTTTCTATTCCTTGATTAGTTTCCATCCATTGTTTCTTGTCTTACCTTCTGGTGCTTCGGAGAATAAATTGATCCGGCCTGCGGGGTTGTTAGATCATCCTGGAAACAGGGAAGGACGGGTCCACGATGTCTCTGCTAGTGGAAACGTAGCTTGGGAGGGTGACCAGGGGTGGGATTCTACCAGTTTGCACCTATTCGCTAGAACCGGTTGTTAACATTCTAAGCAGTTCGGAGAACTGGTTGTTAGAAGAAATCACTGGCCTAATCCTGTAAGGAAGGCAGGAAGGAAACATTCTGGTGTTGCTTACAGAAACTGCCTCTCTGTTAACCCTTATTACATTCTTGGCAGGACTAGACTTCCTGTCTCTGGAACTTCTCTGGAGTTTTTTCCCCCTCCTTTGCTGGTACTTTGCTTGAGTGGAGTGACCATTCAAAGTTACAATGGCACTGAAAAAAGTGACTTATGACCGTTTTTCACACTTACGACTGTTGCAGCATCCCCAGTCATGAGGCCAGGCGAGGAGATGCGTCCCTCGATGTGAGTGATGTTGAGTTGGCCACGCCCAGCCAGTCACATGACCACCAAGCCACGCCCACCAACTAAGCCACGCCCACAGAACCGGTTGTTAAAAAATTTGAATCCCACCCCTGAGGGTGACCATTTTCACTGGCAGAGGGTTGCAGGAGGCCATTGCAGCCGAAAACAGAGCTCGGGAGCCCGTTTTCTCTGGCAGTGCACTAGTGCCACAGGTGCCCCCCCCCTCACAAGTGTTGACGAGCGCGCCCCACCCCCGGCCCCCCCCAGCCCACCCCCCCCCCCGCTCCCAGGTCAAACACAACCCTGATGTGGTCCTCAATGAAATCGAACTTGACTCCCCTGCTTTTAACATGTACATTCTCACATAACTGGAATTTCCAAAACTGGTTTGTCCTTTTTAATCCTACCAAAGGAATTTATATTCCTCGTTTTTTTCTTCTATGCACCCGAACTAGAGATCCCAGCGCCTGGCATTAAGTCTCTGAAGTGCCCCCATCACCTTGGCCTCCAGAAACATACAGCTTGCTTGAAATCTGCTCCAGCTGGCATCAATATGTCGCTTTCACACATTCCTGGTGAAAATATAACAGTGTTCATTCGCTTCTCTTTCTACCATATGGTTTCTGTATTTTTTGTTTTTGTTTTTAAATATCCCAGGGGTTTTTTCCCTTAAAGAAAAGGTTTGGTGTTTTTTTTTTGTTTGTTTGTTGTTCTTTTGGATTTCCACCTGCAGCAACTAGTTGTCCCTGACTTTTAATCACTCATTTAGTGACCATACCGTAGAGTGGTACGGTGGCTTAGAGGAGGGGTCCCCAACCTTGGCAAATAAGCCTGGAGGACTTCAACTCCCAGAATTCCCCAGCCAGAATTCTGGGAGTATGTATGTATGTATTTATATGTTTGTTTGTTTGTTTGTTTATGTATGTATGTATGTATGTATGTCAATTGCTTACAAGATAATAGGTATAAGTATAAACATAGTTATGAATACATGGATACATATAAGAAAAATAAAAAGGAACAATAGGACAGGGACGGTAGGCACATTGGTGCGCTTATGCACGCCCCCTACAGACCTCTTAGGAAAGGGGTGAGGTCAATAGTAGACAGTCTAAGGTTGAAGATTTTGGGGGTTTGGGGAAGAAACCCAAAAGTTGAAGTCCTCCAGGCTTCAAGCTGCCAAGGTTGGAGACCCCTGGCCTAGAGGTTGATTTCTCACCTCACAATCCAGAGGCCGTGAGTTTGGATGCTGAGTAGAGGCAGGTATTTTTTTCTCTCTGGGCATGATAACTGCCTAACAAAACTCTGTACTGGTGACCGGAAGAGCATCTGGCCAGTAAACACTCAGCTACCTCCACTCAGTTGCTCAGACTCCACCCCGCAAAAGGGGTTATGGGGTCGTTAAATGGTGATGATTTAGTGGCCATTCTGTTAACACGGCACTGAAAAAATTACTTATGTCCAGTTCTTCACACTTGTGGCCACCATAGCATTCCCAAAGGGGCATGTGATCAAAAACAGGGCGCTTGGCAACGGGCACTTATGACCGTTGCAGTGTCCCGGGGTCATAGGATCCCCTTTTGTGACTTTCCAAGGGGGCTTCTGACAAGCATGGGAAATGCCTGCTTCATTAATGACCACCTGCTTCGCTTAACAACTAGCAGTGATTGTCTTAAGAACCGTGGCAAAAAAAAAAAAAAAAGGTTGAAAAACTGGGTGTGACTCGGGTAACGACTTCCTTGCTTAGCCGTGGAAATTCTGGTCCCAATTGTGGCCGTAAGTCGAGGACTTCCTGTATCTTCCCTGCCTTTTGACATTAGCCTTGAGGGGAGTCCAGCTCTTATTAAGAGCGAACCGGGGAACAGACAAATTTAATTCCACGGTTAAATCTTAACTCAGATACAAAATTGCAGGAAGTCCTTGACTTAACGTGACTACAATTAGGATTGGAACTTCTACTGCTCAGCAAGGCAGTCATGAAGTTATCACTGCCACAGTCGTTAAGTGAATCATGCAATTGGTTAAGCAAATCAACATCCCCTATTGACTTTGCTTGGAACCTCGGAAGAAGGTAATGATAACACAAGAAGACACCGCAAGAGTCGTAAATATATGTGAAGCATCTCTCTTAAAGCATGCTGGCTGGGGGATTCTGGGAGTGGAAGTCCTCCCCTCTTAAAGCAT